GCTGAGACTGACAAGCCCAAGGTCGACAAATAATATGGCACAGTCCCAAGATTACCAAAAAACATGTCAGACCACTAGTTCAAGTCCGGAGACAGTTCCAAGATCAGCAGACAACTTGGCAGCCTGCTGAATGAACACTTGGCTATACGCAGGGTCCAAGTGTGTCAAAAAGCTTCCTCAAAGCTTATTCTTACACACTGGAAGCAGACCACATCCCTGAGACAGCTACTCAGTGGCTCCAGTAGATTCTACCACGCAGCTGATTACCAGTCTCATCATGGGAATAACTACAATCAGCTGCCCAGCCACTCAAAACCAGTCCAAGCCAAGTTGGCACACAACTTACCTACCCATATCATGTGTAAAATTTGACAATAATTAGCTTCCTAAACATCAGGATGGTCATGGAGCCACAAGCCCTGAGCATGTGCACCACTCTCACCCAAGGATTCTGCACAAATGGGAAATGACCAAACCAACACTGAGTTATGTCTGGTGACTAAAATAAAACAAAACAACAAATCTCAAATGATGTCAGCTAAACCCCAATGACGTGGCAAATAAACAATGCGCTTCCAGATAACTGAAGGTGAAAGAAGAATTCACAAAGGGGATCAGGAAAGACTTTTAAATATGGCACATTCCCACGTTTACCAACACTGTGTTGTGTGAAAACAGAACACATCAAAATCCAGGTGACACAGCTAAGTCAGGACTGAGGATAGAAGAGAAGGCAAAGTGAAGGGTCTGTCTTCCACTAGAGAAGCACAGAGAACAGAAATCAAAGTGACTGCCAGGAATGAGGGGAAGAAAAGGGACCGCAGAAATCAGGAAGTGAGAAAACAGACAGGCAACAATATCATCAATGGGACCCAAAGCAAGTTCTCGAGCACAATCAATAAAACTGGTGTGTCTCCACTGAGGCTGATGGGGCAAAACCAGGAAGGGCACAGAGTACGAATTCTCGGACTGAAAGGCCAGATCCCATGCCCACTGATGAGTAACACGGGGCTATTAGGACTTTATGCCAAAAGATTGGACAACTTCCATGAAATGGACAGATTCCTTAATAGACACAACTAACACAAGATAAACACCAACGGCCCACAGCCCTGTTCTCAGAAGAAGGTATAGACCAGTGTGGGACATTCTCAGCACCAGTGAGAGATCACCAAGAATGCAGAAATCCACACATATCACTGCTCTCCAGTGTCCTCACCGGCCTGTTCTCCAGACACAGAGGGAAACTCAGGAAGAGCCAAGGAAGGGGCTTCTCCTCCTTCCCTTAGTCTAAGAGACTCAGACATGGACACCTTGTCCATGACAGAGGGTTTCTGCCTTCCTCAGGGAGACTCAGACATGGACACACCCTCCTCCTCCCCCTCAACAGAGAGGGGTCTCTGCCTTCACAGGGAGATTCAGACATGGACACACCCTCCTCCTCCCCCCTCAACAAAGAGGGGTCTCTGCCTTCACAGGGAGATTCAGACATGGACACACCCCTCATCCACAACAAGGAGAGGGTCTCTGCCTTCACAGGGAGACTCAGACATGGACACACCCTCCTCCTCCCCCTCAACAGAGAGGGGTCTCTGCCTTCACAGGGAGACTCG